CCTTAGGCTTCAGCGAGGTGCACTTTTCCAGCTCATCCAACAGGTGATCAAACAAGGTTGTTTCCTTGGGTTGTTCTGCCACGGGAATTGCGGTCAGCACGTAAACGTACTTCTCCCGAAAGGCATCCGAGTCAGCAAGGGACGGACCTGCAAGAGACCAACTTTAACAAGTTACGACCTCCTAAGGTTCCGATCCTACCTCGTTCCAACTGGAAGTGCTTGAAGATGGCACGCAACATGATTCTCCCTACGGGCATCCCACCTGACGAGATTCTCTCTTGTTCAACCATGTTCTGAAACAAGAGCCCGAACTTACCTTTGCGGCAGGTTTTAAGGAGCTTTGCGGCTACTTCACGATCTAGGCGTGGGAAACGCTTGTCCGCGATGAGTTCTTGCTGAGAGGAGGACATGCATGCTTGGGCCCACTGGTAAACTTCATCTCCGGGGGTTTTCTGGAGTCGACCGATGGCCATCAAAACCTGGTTGACAAAACCTCTAGCCTGACCCGCGTTCTCCGGAGGGGATGGTAATACAAGATCCTTGAGATCCTTGACACGGACAACGGACTCCTCATATGCGGCGTGATCTACGGCGGTCACGCCTACACTAGGATCGGCAGCTTGAAACGGGTCTGCATTGGGGAACCCCCACCGCCCCCACCACCATTCATGGTGAGGTATGGGCATTCCGTGTCTTCGTGGCTGCCGCCGCAAACTCGACATTGTGGTGTGTCGTCATCTCCGTCGGAGTCTGACGAAGAGTCGGAGCTTGCGGCCGATGGCGCTTGTGGGGATGACGAGTACAACCCTCCCAACATTGTGATTGGTACTGGCGGAACACGAAGGCCGTCGCCAGCTTTTGGCGGAGGCGGCGCCCCTGCGAGGGGCATGGGAGGCACTGGAGGTGGTGCGGCCGGAGGTGGCGGAGCCACTTGATGAGCAACCAGTTGTGAAAGCTGCTGAAAAATTTCCGCTAGAGCCGTCACTTGCACTCTCACATCCCTTGTACCGTCTCTTTCCAAACCGCTTGCCCTCGACGCGCCCGGGGGCTGCGTCTCCAACAGAGGACGCTGCTCCTAGCACTGCCGAATGGCCTACGAGATGTTGACTTGTTGCAACCCCACCAGGGTCCCTTGAATCAGCTGGGGCACCGTGACCAAGTCCTGAACTTTGAACAGAACCACACGGAGGGTCGGGGATAGTTTCAAAAAAATCATTCCCTTCCGACGATGCGGCAACACCGGAGGCATCTTGTGAATCCGAAACCTGAGGTGCTCCAACCGGCTGATGGGTTCCTGGGGGAACTGTGCCCTGACTTGAGGCTTTAGCCGCGCTTGATTCCGTAGCTGTTTCGGCTGTTGATGCGGCTTTCGGCGGAGACTCTTGAATCGGTACAGGGGTCGCACGACCTTTTTGGGTGAGGTGTGCAACAACACGTTCGAGATCACCAAGTCGTTGATGCATCACAGAATTTTCCTGGGACAATCCACGAATGGTATGCTCTTGACTGGCAATTGTTTGTTCCCTTTGCGAGATTGCCTGTTGAGCTTCAAGAACAATGCGTTGAACTCCTGCTGAGCGTCCTGTTGAGTAGCATTAACAACCTGTCGTGCGTTCTCGACATGGCGTATGGCTTCCTGTCGGATCTGCTCGATTAGTTGCCTAGCCTGAGCCTCACTCTGTTGTGCTGTTTGTACAGCCTGCTGGGCTTGCGAAGCTAGCTGAGCGCGCGGCTTGAACCCTAACATCGGATACTTCCCTTACAGCCCTTTCCCTGATCCATCCGGCCTCTTGTCTCGCCTGGTCGGCGGCTTGCTGTTGGTGCAAGGCGTGATTGGCTGCCTGAGCAGCGAGGTCGGATGCTCGATGAGCTTGCTGCACCGCAGCTCCAGCAATAAAGGCCGCAGCTGCTCGTTGAGGTGTGGATGTGCGCATTGTGGACATTGCCGCAGGAACCATGGCTAAATCAGGGTCATCCGGTTCAGAATCCCTGTTTGGGGTTGACCTTGAACGGGGTTCCGAGGGCGGGGATAAGCCTGTTGAAGTCATGACTCAGCGATGCAATTTTGCACTCACACGAAGCCAGCTCCACGCGCTTTGAGCAGCGTGTCAAAAGGTGCTACGTGGGGATTTCCCTGGATTGGCAGCTGGTTGCGAAACGCTCAAGTGAGCCACTCAAGAAAAGTCGCCCTGCTGCTTTGCACCTGATGAATTCTGCACTTGTAATTGTACTTGTAGATTGATTGTTCGCAATCCCGCACTCTGGTGCTTTATTGAAGGATGTCGCCAAGCTGCTGATGAAAAGTCTGCTAATCGAATACCTGTAGCTGCAAAGATGCTGTACCGCGCAAAGCGACGGTTTTAGCGGCTTGCAAAGAAAGGCTATCGAAGGACCCGATTGCCGGGCAGTTGGGATGCAGACCGATGGAGCTCCTCGAGATACTGCGAAGGGGGTAGGCCCCTTGCTGCCGGGATGAAAAATCGATTCCGGGACTCGATGAATTCCCCAACGTTTTCAAGAGCTGTGGCAAATCCGTTCGGACCAAAATGGGGGAAGTTGCGAAATGCTGCAATGCCAGTTTTCTGCGCCTCGCGGACGATGGCAGGTTGGTCGTCCACGAGAACGTGGACTCCCTCGGCCCAGTCTCTCGTGCACGATCTTGATCGGAGAGAACGTCAATCCAGCTGTCGCCTTTTTTCTTGGTCCAGAGCCACCTGGAACTCACGGCGACGGAAATCACTGGCAGCTCGGCCGACAAACGACAACACGATCAAGTTGATCGGAGCGTAGTCTTCAGTGAATTTCACGAGGTGCTGGATGATCTCGGGGTTGAGGTGGGGGCCTTGCTGACCGACGTCCAATACCCCGTGCCAATCCAGAGCGATGGTGAGCTCCTTGGGTGGCACAGGCCTTGCAGGCGGCGGTGGTGGCGCTGGCGGCGGCCTTCTCGGTGGCGATCGAAAGCGTATGCCGGCCTGTGAAGTTGCAGCGCTTGAAGCAGCTGCTTTAACGACCAGGGGCGGCGGCGGCTTGACAATGTGCCCTTGTGGTGGGTTTGAACCTGACTTGCTTCTGGGTTCGGCCTTGTTCAGACCTCGCGGAGGCGCCTTGTACCCGAATGCACTCTGCAGTCCGAATAGGAGACCTTGCTCGAGGAGGTGATTTTCTAGGAATAACTGCTTTTGCCGGTACCGAAGAAGCTGCACGAGGAAGTTCCTTGGGCAATGGAGGCTTGGTGCCAAAAATGATCTTTGGTGCGGCCTTTGATGGCGGTTGCTGTGTTGTTCCAATCCTCCTGCTATGCAAAGCAATAGGCTCAGTGTGTGTCGGTGCCTCGTATACGCGCCGAGGCACGTAAGCCGCCCTGCCAGTTGTAAGGGCTTCCGCGTCCTGCGGAGGCTCCTCCTCTCAGCTATAGGCGTCGAGGCGATAATGTTCCGCTGGTCCTGGGCGTCGATCTGGAGATCGTGATCGCGAGCTTGTGGATGATCTTCTTGGGGGATCTCTCCACGTCTCGTCCGCAAGCGAAGACGGGTCAGCCTGACGGAGATGTCGGGATGTCCGCTGTGCTCGGCGGTGAGATGTCGCCTCACGCGGCTGTGAAGCCCCCCGAACGAGTACCCAAGTGCCGTGCTCGTCAAATCGTGTCACAGGGTATATACTGTTCTGTGGAGCCATTACAATGGGCCGTGTAGCAAGGGAAGTCCGGGATGGTCTGCCCTCCCGCGCAAGCGCGGGTTCAACACTATGCGCCCGAGGTTCCACAGGGGTAGCAGCAGTCGGTCCTTGTCTCGGAGACGATGGGGACCTCGATCTTTGTGGCGATCGTTCCCTGCTGCTCTCCCGCCGCGTTTCCGCAGCTTTAGCGTACACCCCGCGAAGTGCTGTCTTGGCGGCACCTCGCAACACTTGTCTTTCCTCTGCAGATGGTCGGAGACGAGGCAATGGAGTGCGGGAGTCCTGCAGCCAGGATGAAGCAGAAGGAGGCGTAGGTGGTCGTAACCAATCCGCAGCACTGCTTGTTGCTCCCGCCGCGCCAGAGGCTGCGGCTCTATCCTGCGCCTGGACTCCTTGTGGCACTACCGCACTCCGCGGCCTGGATGATCTCAAAGGCCTCTCGGTCGAAATCCCACAAGTGCCAACTATCCAATGTTTCACGCCAGGAAAAGAGGGCCTCAATCTGTTGCTTTGAAGCGTCTGCAAACCTGACCCACCGGAAGCGTCGATCCTGCTTTTTTGTATTCGTCGACGATGATCTGCTGGAGGGTGTTGAACAGACGGGCACGCGGCCCTTTCCCACCGCGAACGCCGCGGTGAGGGCCGACTTCCATGTGCGACCGAACGGTCGCAGTCACGGAAGGGTTTGTTTAACCGAAAAGCGTTACGGCTGATAACCACTCAAAGGAGAGGGAAACACAACGGGGGAACCCGGGACCTTAAAAGGAACGAACCCCGCCGTGACTGCGACCTCTCCCTTAACTTGTGGGCAGCGCGTGCAACGCGCTCTTTTCCTTGAGCCAAAGCGACATGTGATCATGTCATGCTTCAACCTTGAATTGTTTGTACACCTTGTTACAAGTACATCTGACTCATGAACCTCTGGGCCATAAATGTCATCGTGATAATTGACTTTAAAAGTAAACTTTGGTTTGGGAGTTTCAGTCACATTAAAGCGACCCCCTCTGTGCCAACCCCCTTTGTGTGACTGTTTGCCCTTACTTGTTTGTAAAGAAGTCATCTTCAGTTTGATGGTTTGGGGACCACTAATTTCCCGTGTGTTTTTTCAGCAAAGAAACCTGACCCAAAAAAACACATGACCCCAAACAGTGGGATTCTGCTTAAGCCGAGGAAACCAATGACCTACTTCAGGGTGCCGGAAGTCCCCCCCCCCCAAAAAAAAGAAGAAGAAAAAAGAAGCGAACAAACAAAAAGAAAACGAACGAACAAACAAATGGGTGCAACCGAACATATTGTTTGGACCCGAGAAAGCCGAAGCTGGCCTTGAAGTAGCTCTCCTGCTGCAGCTGCTTCACCTGTTCCATGAGCTCTTGGCCTCGGATCGCGGCCGGAACGTCACTGTGTAAGCCCAATGCCTCCAAACTGGAGCATATCTAGATGTGAAGTAATATATGCACACATATATTTATATCATATATATATATTTATGAATTTTTATTGTATATATACCTACATCTTTCAGGTGTGCATTCTTCCCGCTTGCCGGAAGAACACAAATCCCGAAAAAAATACGCTTTCAGAGGAAAGGTGTGGTTCAAATTTGGCTGGAAACATGGTCCGGGGAAGTCGACTTTTGATTGGGGATTGATCGATCAAAGTCGCCATGTTGCCTTCGATTTGTCCCAGAAGAGTAATAAAGTGAACAGCGCCTGGAGACGCAACAAAAGTATCGTTTGTCTGAAAAAGCAGCTTTTCCCGGAAAAGGCATTAAACATACACACTTCAGAAGATCCAGGTGTGCTACGCTTGCCAAGCGAACTTGAGTAGAATGCACCCTGAAAAGGAACATGGGGCTCCCTCCGAACGGAGCATTGTTGTGCTTCTCTTACCTAAGAGTGTGGTTTTTATCGTGCCTCGTGCGCCAATGCGCGCAGCTCCTGCGATAATTCAAAACCAGAAAATAGGAATTGGATGCCCAAGCAGCACGGGACCTGCGTCATGGCTCGTTTCACTTCAAGAATCGATCCCAGTGCTCCAGCCCCTGCAAAAAAAGAACTTTCGCTGGTTGAAAGGACAAATGCTATTGCTAGAAAAGCAACGTACACCGTGAAGGAGTCAAGAAGGCTGAGCTAAACCTGGCAATGCTTGCAGCCAAGGCGGCGCCGCCGGCATTCCGCCTCTGCCTGGTCCCGCTTCTGCTGAAACCGCACCTTCCGACTTTGACTTCTGCGGCTCCCGGACGCGCGGGCCGGGAATTTCATGCGACAAGCAGCCAGTCTTCCAACCAAGATGGATGAACCAACCTGCGCAAAAGGTGTGTTTTGTTTCTCCCGCGGCCGTGGTCTGCGAAGCCGGTAGGTAGTTTGATTTGTTCCGCTTGCTGGGGACAATCATCGTTTCCCCAAAAGATAAAACAAAACTATCCCATAAATGAAATTTTAGAAGATAACCCCGTTTCCCAAAATTCCATTTTAAGAGGATGGTGTTTGAGGCATTGTGATTTGGAGGTGGGGCTCTCTCCAAATAGGTGGAGGCATCCAATATCATGATTGCAGCACCGACGTCCAAACCCTCCAATCTAAACCACCAAGGGGTGACCTGAGTCCAACCCCTTATCATAAATACAATCGAGTCGAGATTTAATTCAGGATGTTTATTTATTTTTGTCGTTTTCACTCCCGGTGTGAAAATGCTGCATTCCACCACCCCCCGCCCTCAGAGAGCTTCCCAAGGAACCTTCTGACCGTAAGGGTTCTCATCGAACTTCTCTGGCGGGGCCCGATTTGGAGTTGTCTTAAGCCGGGGGTTGCCTCGAAGTTAACCATAACAACAGGGCTCCCTATATTTCCCCTCAAGACATCACCCCTATGAAGCTCACCTTTGGGCAAAAAAGGGGATGTTTCAAACCACCAAAAAGGGAAATATAGGGACCCCCCCATAAACAGGGTACTTCCCGTCCGGCCTCTTTCTCCCGGCGTCGTACTTCCGCCTGCTGGGATGATGCACGCACACCTCAGCCGCGGACTTGCTCGCGCGTTCGAAAGTATGCAGGCAGCTTCGGGGGTGCTCTGGGAGAAATGTATTGATCAAATGCCGCGCGTCACAACCGCTGGTTGTATTTGAATCTGTTGGACCCGAGCTCAGCGACCCATACAAGTTGCCCCCGAAAAGTGGGCCTGCCATTTGCTTTGCCATGCGACGTCGACGGCTAAGAGGTGCCATTAAGTTCAATTGCCACACCCGCCCGACCTCTCACTGACCACAATCAATCAAGTCATTGTAAACATCAACTCCCCAAAGAAAAGAAACAGCCTTACTAGCATGTTATCCAAACAAGTATTTAGAGCATTGAGATAAGGGTGACTATCAACATCTATACAACAAATCCTGCACAAGCATGACAGTGACCAAACAAAATGACAATGCTTCATCAACCTCATAAAATCCCGTCGAGCTGCTAGTACCAAAGAAGCATCGCCCATGATCGAAACCCAAGAATTTGATTGGGGGACCGCCCTGGTTTTGTCACAAACGGGTGCGTATTTGTTTGAGGATGCCCGTTTTGGGGGCTGAGTATAAAGGGTTACAAAAGGATGCCACACATATCTTCGGGTTCTGTCAAAAACAGGCATGACGAAGGAGTTCGCGGGGGTGCATCTGTCATGGGCTTTGCGCTCTTAACTTTGTGCCAAAAGGAGCAAGGACGGGCCTGCACAAAAAGGGCCTCCCACTCAGCCTGAATAAGCAACCTCCCAAAGCAAACACAAAAGCGCATAACATTTACTGTAAATGCCCCGGGTTTTCAAAGATTGGAATTGCTGTTTGGCCCCTGACACACCAACTCCAAGTTTCCAAAAACCGCGGGCTTTTGAGCGCATGAACTGGGTCCTGTTCATCCGGGTTGTCAACAACACTAGGTCTCCTTTTGGGACGTCAGGCAGGCGTAAGTACCAAAACCGGGAGATGCCCAAAACGGTGATTGACTCACCGATTCAAACAAGGGTACTCATGGCCCCTCCAAACACACACACGCACACACACACACACCCACACACACACACACACCCTGAAACGGGCCCCACGTCTGGTGCCATGTGCCCCTCTCTGCCAAAGCGCAGGCGCCGATCTTGTCCTCCCGTGCCCGCCGGCGATCGCTGGAGGCTGCCCTGCAGCTCTGAGGCTCGCGGCCCCCCAGCTGAAAGTGACACGGCCCCCGTTTTCTGAAACCTTGAGCCCCAGAAACGGTCAAAATCATGACTGGACCTATGGTCCATGGTTGATTCCACCTCTGCGCGCTAGGGGGCCATGGTCTTGTTGGAATTACGTTGCCATATGTTGCCACACAAAACTCTGTTGGTGATTGTCGGCATTCTGCACCGCCATCGCACTTGCATAGTTCTTGATAGGCAGAAACCAGCCGGCCATCGCCGGCCATTCCCTCAACACATCAAGCGGGGTGAGACTCGTCAAACAGATGACGGAAAGCGCTTCTTCGAAGCTGTTGAGAGTTGGGCCACAGGGGGGGGGAGCGGGGGGGGGGGGTGAGGCCCACTGTTTCAGGTGCCTATCCACGAAGGGAACTGGAATTTTGTGGTAGTTGAGGTCGTTGTTGGTCCCTGGATCTATTCCGGAGAGAGCCCAATATGCCAGTAATGGATGATTGGAGATAATCCTGTAAGCGGCCTGCAATGGCTCTTTTGTCCTCACGCTCGGATGGTCGTGATTATGCAAAAGGGGCCCTTGAGCCAAATGTTGCGGGAGATCAATGGTCTGAAAAACAGAACACAAAACAGACACAAATTTCTTTTGATCTCCAGCACAAAGTATGGCCCCTTGGCCTTTGACCGTAGCCTTGATGTGTGCCGTAGCCATGTGATTAAAAGTGCCGGATTCATCCTTTTCTGCTTGGATGAAATGTCTTGGCCTTCGAAATTGGAAACACTATGTACCGCTGCTTTTTGGATACCTAATTGTATCAAAGGGGAATGTACAACGCTATGTACACGCGGAACAATTGTGAAACTATTGATCTCTCACTCATGGTATAGTCTTGTAGACGAGGAGGATCAATCATCTGGATTGTTCGTGGTGCTGAACGTATCTTCATGGTCAGTCGGATCGACGATACCATCGGCGGCTGCTGTCGGATTGACTGCCATGGTCTCCATAATCATTCCAGGTCGAAGTGCTATAGTCCTTCCACTGCTTCTGATATCCCCACTGCTTGTTGTAGTCCTTGTACTCCTGCGTGGTCCAGGATGATTGCTTCTTCTTGACGTAATCCTGGTATCTCTCAGAGCTGCGTTTACTGGTTGCAGACTTGTAAACCATGAGAGGACTGTGGGAGTCGGAGTCCTGCGAGCCGTTCATGAACATTTCATTGTTCACGTGCTTGTAGCGCTCTGCGGATGAGACCTGGTAATCGAATATGGCCTTGGTTGGATGGTTCCGCATGAATTCCAGTTGTTCATCATCCATACCGTTCATCTCGACCTTCCGGAAATCCTGCTGGATGTTCGTTTTGCCCCATCCAAATACGATAGTCATCATCACATCTGGGAATGTTCGATCAAAACCTGATCCGCATTTCATGTGCAGGTGATGACGGACAATGGACTTCAGGGTGCACGAAGTCTCCATTGCATTCTGTCCACGAGTGGCAAATTCTTCGTCGCATTCCACAGTCTCTGATATGCTCTCATGAGGATGTTCACGAGACCGTTGGTCGGATTGTAGACATGCTGGAGTTTGCTGTAGCTGTTCGCCGATTTGTTGGCGTCTCCGGTGATCGCATCGCATCGGTACAAGGTCACGAGCGGCATGATTTCATTCTGAAGATCTTCCTTTGCTGCCCCATGGCTAAGTGAAGGATGGATGTGGAAGACTCCAATGGTTGCGAATGGTAGATCTGCCCTCGTTATGTGGCGGTCGTCATACTCGTGGTATGACTTGTCGGATGATTTCGGGATCATGCCACGAAACTCATCACTCTGCTCGATGTGGAGAACGACGATCTCCTTGTCTCGACCATGTCCTTGGACAATGGTGTGTGCTGGCAATCTCGATCCAATGTACTTCTTGGGTTCAGTAAACATGGATGTTCCTGTGGTTCCTGTGGTTGCCAACGGAATTTCGTATTCGGGATCAGTGCCATCTCCTTTAGTTCCGAAGAAACATCTGAACATTCCGAATGTGGTTCCCCAATTCTGGCTCCTGGTGGAAATGTGTCTTGCCAGAAGTTTGCAGAGCGTCCGCCGCGGACAAAGCATGCGATCGGTCTGGATGACCATTGCTTGACCACGATGCCCTTGTAACCGTATCGGATGAACGTCTTGATGAGCTCTCTGGATTTCTCATCATTCGGACTGAAGAATGCGTCTGCTTCATTCAGGCATAAGATGTGTGCACTGTTCTGCATCATCATCTTGACGATCGGTCGATCCTTCATCGGCATGTTGTACACCTCCCTGTTGTCCAATTTTGGATTCCTTGTGAGGTTTCCATGGTTCAGAGTAAGCATGTTGATCGCTATGGATGAGGTGAACTCATGCATGTTGAGATAGTCCACGGAAGGACGGTCAGTCGGCTGCATCAGCGATCCCAGGATATCGGCATAGGCTCGGATGATTTTCGGGTCATCTTGTGACCTGAGCTTCTTCAATCCAAGCGGTAGCTTGATCGGATATCCGGATCCTGGTTGAGCTTGCTTGTACTCGTCAACGGTGGGACATTCTCCTCGATGAGGGAAGTAGAATTCTTCTTCACCGAGATTGACATCAGGATCGACATGTGCCAATGAGGCTCTCTCGCACTCTGTCAAATTGGGATGAGCTCTTTTTGGATCCTTGTTGAACTGGTTCATGAAGCGATTGAGTTCTTCTTTGATCCCCGCGAGCTCTTCCTCTGCGTCCTTTTTGTTCATATCTGTTTCGAGATAGATTCCCTTGAGTTCTTGGATGAACTCATCTAGGTTCTCTGAATTGTGATATTCCACGATGACCTTCGGCTTGACGGATCTTTCCCCGGAGGGTTCCATCATTTCTCCTTCAGTGGAGTCCTGATCGGTGGAATGCCGTCTCTTCTTGGTCTCTGAGGAAGTATCTTTTTCCTTGTTGTGCTTGGTGGAATTCACATGCTTGAAGAAGGCATCGGCGAATTCGCGGATCTTGGTGTCGTACATCTCGTAATCTTCATGATCGAGATGCTTCTTCATGATCCACTTGTTGCTCGCCATGAGGCTGCCATCAGGTTCAAATGCTGCAACAATGTTTCTTGCCTCGATGGTTTTGTCTGTCAACGCTGTTCTCTCTTCGGAGAGGCGGATGCCATAGTCTTGGTCCTTGAGAAATGCAAGGATCAACAGTGCATCTCTTCCTGCTGGCACATGGGTCAATGCGGTTTCTGACTCATCGTCTTCGAGGATGACGTCATCGATGCATGCCATGTGGACGTGCATTCTCCCCAAAGGGTTTGACTGGGATTTCCCAGATTTGAGCCCGTGCTCCATGATGCTGTAGAGCTGACTTCCATAGGTTGCATGGAACATGAATGTGATGGGCTTCTTCGAGAACGGCTTGATCCTTCTCTCTTCTTCAACGGATGGTGGTGCCGGCCTTCGCATTCTGTACTTGGGCTGAGCTGTGCTTTCGTCTCCATGAGGCGCCTCGGATCTTGACGGATGCGGACTTGGCGGAATGGATTCCGTTGGTAGATCATAGTCCGGTTCGTCGTAATGAGGCTCCTTCTGCTCAGGGTACAGGGGTCGTCCAAAGGATTGGATATCGACTTGTCGTGTGTGTCCGCTGTTGCATCTCACATAGAACTCCATCTCTGAATCAACATAGAAGTCCTTGCCATCGGGCCTGAGTGCATTTTGTGCGGATCTGGTGTTGAGCTTGTCGATCCATCGATTCCTTGGAACAATTTCTCCCCGTGCCTTGCGCTCATTATATGTCCCGTCCACGGATGGAAATACGAACGCAATTTCGAAACGTGATTTTCCATAGCTCGGGAACATAGCCATCAAGAGAAGTCCTGGCTTATTTCCAATGAAGTTCCTGGCATGTGTGATGCAGGTCAATGCGTCATAGAGCTCAACGGATCCATCAGGACCCATTTCCACCTGCCGTTTGCATTCCTTATGGAATCCATGCCTTGGATCATGTCGAAGACATCCGGAAAACGATCTGCTCATTCTCTCAATTCGCCAGAGGATGAGATCTTTGATCTGTTTCGCCTTGGATGGATCCATGCGGAAGTATTTGCAAACCTGTTCGACATTCTGGACGGTCTTATCGAGATCAATGTTGCCGTTGTGGCACACCATCGGGATGATGTCGGTTCCGTAAACTTCGGATTGAGCATTGGTGTAGCAGCAGATGCTGTAGACCTTCTTGATGAAGTCCATGTATTGCTTCTCTGCATGAGGTCCTTCACCTTGGAGTGTTGGATGCCAGTAATCGTTGAATCTTGCCTTCAACCAGAATACCTTAACTCCATGCGGTCTCTCGTGCTCGGGAACGAAGTGGAAGTCCGGATTGACATCGAGGATGGTTGAGCATTCCTTGTAGCACTCGTGCACAAAACTCAGGAATTTTGAGTTTCCGAAAGGTCCTGGGTGCACGGATTCCTTCTGGAGGCTGATGTTCGTATCCGATCCATATGTTACAAACCACCGATCGTTGGATGTGAGAACAGGCCGCATCACTGGTCGCCTTGGAAGTGCAGGTCGATCACCAGGATGATTGTCGGATTCCGTCTCGTCATCCAGGGTGTTCTTGGGTGCTGGCTTGACCTTGGAGACAAGCCTCAATGTCGGTGGCGGTGACTTTGGAACAAGTTTCGGATGTGGCATCGCCTTTGACAAAGGCCTTCCTTCGAGAGGATGCCCTTCTTCATCTGAATCATCGTCATCGGAATCTCGATCATAATCAACCTGCTCCATGTTGACATTCTCGGGTTGTTGGGAGGCGGATGGATTCTCATCAGCGACTTGCTCCATGGGGCAATCGGATGTCTCATCTTCCTCATCACGAGCAGGGGATTCCTTCAATGGTGACGCCCGTCTCTTGATCATCGGCTTTGGCACAGGTGCCGCATCGCCGGATCGTCCGAAGATCATGTTGAGAATCGAAAGTGGCTGCGGAGGCAGACACATATTTCTTGA